TAAAAAAATGATATCTTCTACTTATCTAAACGCTAATCAACTTAAATGTTTAGCTTTACTCCACTTCTTTTTTTTTACTTTATTTATTCTTATTCGTTAAACAAGAGGCAATAAATGCCTAGCAAGAAGCTCAGATAACCCTCCTTACTTCAATTTCGTTGAGAAATGAAAGTACTTGAAGTAGGGGAGTTGTGGAATAGCACGTAATAAACGGCAAAAATGCCAACTAATCTTTGGTAAATAATCCACCCGCTCTTTTTTTTCGGCTCCGGACGATCCTGTCTTACTGATACACACCTACAGCGATCTTTTGCGCAAAAAAAAAAATCAAGGAATCGAGATAACATTCCTAAAAATAAGCAGATAACATTCAACGACTCTAATAATAATAATTTGCATGATTTCCTATGATAAAAATAAGTACTTAAAGGCCAGGCAAACTTCAGTCGATGGGCACAGTTCCTGCTTATTTTTCACATTACTTCTGGCAAAAAAATGCGAAATTTCATGGAAGCTAACCAATTTTTACGGATGTTTCGGAGCAGTGCCAAACAGCTGTCTTGTCTTTGCTGCAACTAAAAATCATTTCCGCTTCTGTTGAATAGAAGACAGAAGTAACGGCACTGATATGTGCTGGCCAGTGACGCTGCTCCGACAGGCTGTTCAGGTCTTCAGCTACTGCGTATTCATAATTGGTACCGTTAACAAGCCCAAGAAATAACCTGAAATGCTCAAGATTATCTTAATTTGCATGTTTTAGCGGGGAAAAAAAGAATATATGTGTTCAACGAAGAATAAAAACATTTGCCGGACAAAGAGGATAAAGAGATAATGGTAAGAAATGTATACGATTTACGACTTAATGGACCGAAATATTTCTTACCGTAAAAAAAAAAAACTTTTTTTAAACATTTTATTAGTTCTTCTAACATAAAAATATTTTATTTTATTTATCTTATTTATATTTCAACTGGCATTTTTGTTGCACTGGCAAATGGTACTCACAAATCCCGGCCAGTAGTTCGAATTCTTCAGTGAAACAAGCAATCCCGTTACAAAGCCTTGTTCTGATTAAATAGGAAACTTATTTCTCAGTATTCTGTCTTAAAACTACTGCTGTTATATCACTATTATA